TCGGGGTTTTCTTTTTTAATGCACGCTATCAGCCCTTTCGCACGGCCAGTCATTGATGCTGCCGCGTCCGTACAGCTGCTGCTGCATGACTTCCAGCTCAAACCATATTCCCAGAAAGCGACATTGACAACATTAAATATGTCCGCTCCTGTTGTTTTCCCTTCCAAGCTTTTGCAGAATAGTATGTGCTCATGAATGCCATCAGTATCAACATACCTCCTAAGAGGCCTCCAGGGCTTTGGCTGATGTTGTGGAGGCCTTCCGCATCGTGTCTTGAGATGATCTGAATTCAGACAGTTTCCTCTTTAAAAAATCTGCTTGCTTACCAACATGACATCCATGTTTTGTCTTAAGATGACACTGCAGTTGTGCTGGCTTCATGCTACTGTTAGCTAATTTCTCCCCACAGAAAAAACACAGTGCCTTGGGTGGGTTGCAAATTGTGGAAGTAAATCCAATTAAATACAGCTGGAATTTTGCCGGCTCTGGTTTAGCCTTCTTGGCCACTTGTCCCTCCGTGTTTTCCAAACAATTGCTGCTGTATTCAACCACGTGTTGAACGCTGATCCAAGTGACGGACTGGCGATGCCAGGCGTTATATGACAGGTTGGAGTTAACCATTCTGGTATGGGGGGAGACCCTGGGATTTTGGGATAATGAATTTAGCCTACTTCTACTGAATATAAAACACATTTTATGAACTTTTACTTATATTTTCCTAAAATATGTATTAAATAATCATTTTTAAAAGATTTTGCATGGATTCCATTTTATAAATGAATGTACATTTTCCCACGTACCCCCTGGAGTTTCTTTATGCACCCCCAGGGGTACGCGTACCCCCATTTTAGAAAGGCTGCCTTAGTGACTCATTGGCTGTATTGGCTATGGTAGTCCAGTGGCTAAGGTATCCAGCCCAGTACTTTAACCACTGGACTTCCAAGTCTGATACATGACAGTAGTCACCTAAGCCACTTATCCTGTGTTGGCCAGAGGAGACAGGGGGTGTTTCTCAATGTCAAGGCGCTTGGCCTCTTGGCCTTCTTACGAGGACACTGTCCGTCCTTGGTCAAAGAACGGTTAAATGGAACACACTTGCATCACGTGACCATGGCTTCCACAGCGGTCACGTAACATCACGTGACACGGGAGATAACGTTATATTTTATACGTATAAGTTTCAATATAAATATATAACGAGGCTTTTACTTTTTAAATTGTGAATATATTTGTTAAATTAAGTATGTAAGGGAGCTGCTACCCGCTAGCCACCAAAGCTGCAACTACTAAGCAACTAACCAACCATAGAAAACTGCGTTGGATCTAAAAATAGATTTTAAATTAGTTGACTTACTTTTAAACTTGAAATTTGCCCCCCGAAGTAGCTGCTAGCTTCTGATCCGCCATCCTTTTGAAAATACCGCGGTGTATTCTGGGAAATTTTTGACCAAGGCTAGGCTACAAGACACCTCCTGTGTATCCTTGCTCAGCTAGCTAAATGGCTAACAAACGGAGAACACATGCCTCGGTAGAACATGAACCTTGGAACACGCCTTGGTGGTTCCTGATGACATATCTCCTAGGCAACCGGGGCGGGGCCAAGACATCAAGACAAGGTTCCTTGGCATTGAGAAACAAACGAGGTTCAGACCAGAGACTAGCTTCCAGTAGAGGAACACAGCCTGATGATGAGATTAGTTTCCTTTGACACTTTACAATATTTTTAGAGTAAAAATTTGCAGCTGAAACAGGAAAATGCATGAATGCAGCCAAAAATGTTATTTTTCTACAAGAGCAAATAAAATCGTCACATGGTTAAAAGCTCCAAAAGTGACTTTTCCATGATATGGCCCCTTTAAGTGAGTATTCAATTGCAGATCAGCCTCTTGTAAATGTGCACCGTTGAAATGAATCAGTGTTTAAAATTCTTAAAGCTTCAGATACTTTCTTATCAATGATCAATGCTTTATTTTTTAAAATCCTTTTACAGCCTTGATGAATTATGAGACCCACTATTTAGTCTGTAGCTCACTGATGGAAAGTAAAATGTCAATTTTCATGCTGTTCGCTTGAATAAATTTCTCATCATTTTCACAACAAAGAAAAATATCCTGGAGGCAATTTTGCTTTGAGTAATATTTGTTGTTATTCATGAGGAAATGGTGTTTTTGGAATAGGTCACCTGAAAGAGTAACTGAATCCATTTGAAGGTGTGAGTGAGTGGCTTTGTTAATTTATTTATTTATTTGTACTCTGTATTCTGCAGGTGAACGCTGTGCTGCCAAATTAATTTGTAATTAAAGTAAATGTTTTGTTTCATCTGACAGGTGGACAGAGTGATTGTTGATTTGATGTGATGTTCAGGTCTGATGAAGTCTAATGACATCAGAACATTTGTTTGGCTGCTCTACAGCTCGCCCACACAGTCATTATGTTAAATTTGGCCCACTTTCTCTTCATTTGGCCTACCCTTTTCAGTCTTACTAAATAATATACCTGTTTGTGCTCACTAAAATGAGTCTTTTGAGAATCAGATCTCGGTGTGAAACATGTTTCTATTGAATATGCAGTTACTGTTGAATAAACGCAAGTGCTGAAACTTGCTGATCTGAGAAATCACTAAAAGTTTCTTTCAAGTTTTTCTTCTTTTCAGATTAAAATGAGGGTCATTTATGTGGTTGCACGCAAATATTCGAAATAAGGGTGCCAATGTATAAGCACTGTTATTTCTGGAGGTGTGTATTAGCAAGAATCCAGCGATATGATTTATATCACAATGCAGGTGAGACAATACAATATATTGCGATATTTAATGTCAGACAATATGTGCGATTTTTAAGATTTTATTTATTTGGAAAACGTAGACCAGACGCTTCCAAGACACGTCTGGTGTTATCACAAGATCTTGTTACATCAAGGCTAGTTTATACGTGTCCGTCAGTGTCGGTACATTCGCAAAATGCCATTTTCTGTCATTGCAAAGACTCCTAAATGGTAAATGGCCTGTATTTGATATAGCGCCTTCTAGAGTCCTGGAACCCCCCAAGGCGCTTTACAACACAATCAGTCATTCACCCATTCACACACACATTCACACACTGGTGGGGATGAGCTACGATGTAGCCACAGCTGCCCTGGGGTGCACTGACGGAGGCGAGGCTGCCGAGCACTGGCGCCACCGGTCCCTCCGACCACCACCAGCAGGAAACGTGGGTTAAGTGTCTTGCCCAAGGACACAACGACAGTGACAGACTGAGTGGGACTCGAACCTGCAACCTTCCGTTTACGGGGCGAGCACTTAACTCGGGTGCCACCGTAGCCCCGCGTCCTACAGACGTAGTACAGCCCACTTTTCTAACCATCCATAGAAAGCGACGGAGATCGCTGGCCTGTGATTGGGTAGGTTGACGCTTCCTTTAACTTTGTCATGCACCACCTTTCCCCCTTAAAAAAATGAAACGAGAGCCGAAGATATCTAGCAACAGATGCAAAGCAGATTGAAGAACATCTCGCGGTGTATGTCCAACGATATAAAACGTTTATACCCTCGTAACTAAAGGAGTACAAAGATACGTAACAAACTTTATTCATGTCGGGAAATTACGGGAAATGTGAGTTTAGAGGTGGTGGCTGAATGGAGAAGTGGAGGACAAATAAAGTTTCTGAAATGGATAAACGCAATATAAACACGATAGAGACGTGAATGCGTTGATGGCAGGATACCCCAGAAATGCGCTACGCCCTCTGCTGCGCTGGTGGAGAATTGCCAACACTGACACACCCGCAGAGAAGTATAACAGGTGTGTGTGTGTGTGTGTGTGTGTGTGTGTGTGTGTGTGTGTGTGTGTGTGTGTGTGTGTGTGTGTGTGTGTGTGTGTGTGTGTGTGTGTGTGTGTGTGTGTGTGTGTGTGTGTGTGTGTGAGTGTGAGAGAGAGAAGGAGAGAGAGAAAGTGCAAACTTGCTGATGTATAAACTAGGCTTGAGAATGAAGGCGGGAAAACTTGCTGCCACCTAGCAGTTGGAGTTTGAATTGCACACAAGAGAAATAGAGTAAATGTTAGCATGTAAATACTTAAAGAAAAAATCAATGCACTGCTTTTAAATATCATTTCAGTATCATACCCTGAAATAAAACGATATTTCAGGGTATTGATATTTTCTTATAGCCTGGCAAGCCAGACTAAATAAATGTATTATTTAGTCTGGCCACGCTCCATTGACGGCTCTCGGTTGTGGGGCGGGTTCTACCGTTGTCTTTCAAATGCTCTCCACATTCCACTGGACAATGAATGTGACATACTCTTGTTTCACTCTGTTGCATCATCCCACCCACCAGGCATATAGAGTGCCCTGATTGGCCCACAAAGCGGATAAAGCTCTGTGATTTGTTCACTAAGCAGATAGAGCACTATGATTGGCCCACCATTACGGACCAATCACAGCTCTTTATATGTTTGAAACCCCTCTAGAAAGCTGTGATTGGCCAGCCAGAATGCTGTTGGGGCTGCAGAGGTTCCAGTGGAGCGTTCCTAGACCAAACTTTGCAAAGCAAGAATTAGGTCTAGTTCACTAGGCTAATTTTCTTACATTCCTAGTTGGTACTAATTGCCCGATATTCTTTTTTCTATCACGATTTCTGATAAGATTTTGTTTCCAATCGGGAATAGTCTAACATACTTTTTCTTGTGTGTTTTTGAGGCTTGAGTGCAGTCAGGTAGAAAGAGAGAGAGGTTTGTGGTTGCCATGGTAATCAAATGAGACACTGGCAACAGCTTTAACATTAGCTTTTTTATGTTTGATCACTTTTATACAGAAGGCATTTTGTTTTGATGTAGGTCAGTAAAAAAGAAAACTGCGTTTGGGCTTTACAGAAGATGATTGACTTTTTAAAGACGTGGTTTGCATTTTGAAACTTTGACCCCCTGGATCTTATTTACTCCCAACTCCTGATTTTAAATGACAGTTTCAAGTCCTAAACAACTTGTGGTTTTATTTCTCAGGGCTATTACAAGCGTACACCAGACTACATCCCCATCCGCAGACGCGAGCGTCGGGGCTGTTTCGCCGTACCCATGGTCCACTCCACCTACCTGCTGGATCTGAGGAAAGAGGCCTCACGCGAGCTGGCTTTTTACCCGCCTCACGCCGAGTACAACTGGGCTGTGGACGATGTTATTGTCTTTGCTCACTCTGCACGCATGGCAGGTGGGAAGAATACAGCACAGATACGAGTGATGTTGTGGGATCACTGAGCTGCTTAAACTTGTAAACTCCTCTCCTCAGATGTGCAGATGTACGTGTGCAACAGAGAGGTCTACGGCTACATTCCCGTGCCGATGCGTTCCCACGCTACTCTGCAGGATGAGGTGGAGAGCTTTCTGCACACACACCTTGAGATCATGGGTGAGCTTTTGGAGGGATTTCATTTCTTTTTTTTATTGTGACAATAATTCAGTCTAATGTAATATATTTGATGTAATAGCTGCATTTCCATTAGACGAGTTCTGGGATATTTCTGGGAATGGGAAAGGTGTCATCTCACCACCATGGATGGATTAAAAGTTAAAAATATTAGTGTGATAAAAATCTGACAAGGCACATTTTGAAACAAAATTATTACATTTAATCTGATGGGATTTGTTTTAATTCTAGGTTGTTATTATTATTAATGTGTGAATTTCTAACTGGAACCAAAAGCCATGCCTATTAATGTTGCATTAATACACTACTTTTAGATGCACATATTTAATAACTAATAAGAGAATTACAATTATCTTTGGTGTTTCATAGCAACGAGAAGACACAGACTGATATATTTTTACTTTAAAGGCATCAGGCGTGCATTTACTGTGTAGCTTTTTGATTAATGTATTATTTTAAGAAAGCAGTGCTTTAAAGTCCAAGTTGTGGGAAACTTGTTTAATGAATACATTTGGGTCTCTGGTAGGAATGAATGCCTTACAAGTCGTACTCGGGGTACAAAAAAGCCCAGAATCTCTTGCATCAGCATAGGCAAGTCTGCTGCAGCAGGGTGGCAGAACACGGCAGGATTTTGAGTTTTTTTTTTTGTTTTGTTTTTTTAATATTTGGACATCTCGCCTTGGATTGTATAACAGCAATAGGACTCTGCCGCTGACTTGCAAATGAAAATGTTTTACAGTGATATGTACTGTAAGTGCACATTTTCATCTTGTTTTTTCTTGTTCTACCTTTATTAGCATCCAGTCTTTGAGCAGGTGAGAATTCACATCTGTGGTCTCAGTGCTGCAGTGAATCCAGCCTTCAGGATGTTTGGTCGGCGGGTTTCCAGATGTCAGAAGTGACAACGGTGCACTCTAAACCAAGCCAGTGTTGTTTGCGGGTTTTCTGGCTGTAGGAGTGCGTCACTTCCACGCCAACCTGCTAACATCACACTGACTTTCTACAGGGTCTGCTGGCTGCAGTCAAACTGTGTTCAGTCATGTTTTAAATCCAGAATCAGCTTATTTGAACCAGCGAGCCATGTGCTGATGTAATAACATCTTTAACATTCCGTTTGGGTTCAGATTCATATCGGTTCACCTTCACATGCTTATTAACTATGATTCATCTTTTGCAATCTCCCAGGCGAGGCATCGAGAATCATCTGCAGTTCCCCTTTCCTAGTTCTCCACTTTGGGATTCCCTCCTCGACACATTAAATTATTCTCTTTGTAACTCGGTTTTTTTATTCGACAGTGAATAATCCGCCGTTGGAGCCCTCCAGCTTCCTTTCTGTCCCTCCCAAGCAGCCTAACAAGATGGGCTTTGATGAGGTACATTCTTGCATACCCTCTCACAAACGAGCGTACTCCATCACCTGAGCGTGTGTGAAGTAATTTTTTTTAATTATGGGATTTGTGTGTGCACCCAGGTTTTTATGATCAATCTGGTTCGGAGAGCCGATCGTCGCGAGCGAATGCTGAGAAGTTTGTATGAGCAGGAGCTCAGCTGTAAGGTTATTGCTGCTGTGGATGGCAAGTACGTTTCTCATCTTCCTCCTCCTCCTCCTCCCACTGCCTCCATCTTCCTTATTTGTGTTTCTGCAGCCAGCGGTGGAGAATCATGTAGGGAGTAAAGATGGAGACAAACAACCAGGTGGAGACTAGCTGCTTTCCAGAAGGAACGGGTTTAGCTCATTTGTTTTTATGCTGCTTGGCTTTAAAAATCTGTCCTGCTGTTTTCATGGTTTATTTGTTTTGATTCAATCTGGCCAAGAAAATATGAACCAACAGGTGTAAACGCAGCACTGTGATTAATATGTGATTAAGACGTTCCAGCTGGAGACGAGGTTTTAAACTGATTAAGTGAATGGCTTCTTGTTTTTCAACAAGTCAGGCTTGAAATACATTCTGTGGTTTTCCATTCCATTTATTTGATAGAGCACATTTAAAAACAGCATGTGAGCTGACCAAAGTGCTGTACAGGGGTAAAAACATATAGGGTTAAAAGAATAATATAAAAGAATAAAACAACTAGAGCAGAACAAAAAGAACCATGAGAAGTCAATAAAATCAGTCAAAGAACAGTGTAAATAAACCATCGATAAAATAGCTAGGTAGTAAAAGCAAGAGAATAAAAATAAGTCTTTAAGTGGGACTTAAAAACCCCAATGGAGGAGGAGATTCTGATATTCAGCGGGAGATCATTCCAAAGTTTTGGAGCGCAGACAGAAAAAGCTCGTTCACCACGGGTTTTGCAGCGTTGACGGGGAATTTGTAGTAGGTGTAGGTCACCTGAACGGAGAGTCCTGCCTGGCACATAAGGAGTGAGTAACTCGGATATGTAGGGTGGTGCTAAGCCATTCAGCGCCTTAAAAACAAACAATAAAATTTTAAAACGTATGCGGTAGTGCACAGGAAGCCAGTGAAGTCTTGCTAAAATTGGAGTGATGTGCTGCCGACGGCCAGTATTGGTCAGAAATCTTGCCGTCGTATTTTGGATCAGCTGAAGGCGAGATAATGCGGCTTTTGAAATACCAAACAGAATTGCGTTGGAGTAGTCCAACCTTGAGGTGATGAAAGCGTGAATGGTTGTCTCGAGGTGGCGCCGATTCAGAATGGGTTTTAGTTTGGAAAGACGTCTCAGCTGATAAAAACATGATTTAACCATGTGATTAACGTGAGAGTCCATTTTTAGAGCCACATCCATTTTAATTCCAAGCTTTGGAAAACAAGCTGCCCGCTTTGGGAATAATTTAATTATTGGGCTACAGTAAACATAATCAATAAATTCTGTTTTTGTAAACCAGGTTAAGGGTAGTGAACCGTTATGTTGGGACAGATTTTATAGCTAGATGTTTGGTTAATAATGTGATCGTCATGGGACCTAAAAGAGCGGTGTAGATTGTTTTTAGTTCTTACCCGTTGTAGACGGCTCTCTCAGCTGTTCTGTCAAGCCAAGTCCAACGAGTCCAGTCCAAACTGGTTGTTCAGCTAGCTATCTACAACAGGTTAGATGTTAGTTGTTCATACTTTTGCCCTTTGTCACCGATTCTGTTTCTAACTTTTATGGACAGGATTTCTAGTCGCAGCCAAGGTGGCGAGGGGATTCGTTTTGGTGGGCTAAGGATCTGGTCTCTGCTTATTTTTCACAATGGGGAAAAAGATGGAGCGTGAGATCGATAGGCAGATTGGTGCTGATCTGTTGTGGTGAAGAGGGAGCTGAGCCGGGACGAGAGGCTCTCGATTCACTGGTCGATCTACGTTCCTGCCCTCACCTATGGTCACGTAGCTTTTTCCTCGCAGGGTGTCTGGGCTGCCCCTTACCCCGGCTTTCCACAGCAGCCGTCAGCAGCACGTTACTGCAGCAGCACGTCATAGCTGCTGATAGGAACCGCTGTGGTCAACAGAACCTTTTCCACTGGAGCCGTCGGCAGCCGTCAGCAGCGCGAGTCGGCCGCGTCTCAGGAGCAGCATGTCGCGGCCTTTACGCGCCGGTTCTATTTCCTACGCGCGACGCCTCTGAAACGGGTCAAGTTCGACATTTTTGGGGAAGGAAAGACAGGAAATCGGACGCGGAAACGGAGAGAAGCTCCCGAGATTTTCAGAATAAAGAACGTACTGCCTTCCGGTTGCTTTAGGTTACTTACTGTGCGGCCCCGTGAAAAGTTATCACCTAGCTAGCGGTCTCCTTTGTTTTTCAGGTCCGTATTGGCGATTATAAAACGGACAGAACATAAAACACAAGCCTTGTTGTAGTTTTCTCCTGCTTGTTGTTGTGTTTACTGACGAAGCCACTTGTGTGACTTCGCGCTCGGTCGGTGACAGCTGCTCCCCTGCTGCTTCGCGTCTCGTGGGAAGGGCCAAGCAGCAGCTTACGCGAGCAAGACGTGCTGCTGCAGTAACGTGCTGCTGACGGCTCCCGTGGAAACCCGGGGTTAGAGATAGGGTGAGAAGCTCGGTCATCCAGGAGGGGCTCGGAGTAGACCCGCTGCTTCTCCACATCGAGAGGAGCCAGTTGAGGTGGCTCGGGCATCTGGTTAGAATGCCTCCTGGACGCCTCCCTGGTGAGGTTTTCCGGGCACGTCAAACTGGGAGGAGACCTAAAGGAAGACTCAGGACACACTGGAGAGACTATTTCTCTCGGCTGACCAGGGAACATTTTATTGCTGGCACAAGTGACAGAGAGGGAAGTCTGGGCTTCTCTGATTAGGCTGCTGCCCAACTCTGGATAAGTGGATGATGATGGATGGATATAAACTTTTTCCACAGATCTAATCATCAAAGGGTCTAAAAGAATATTTCATTATGAATGAACATTGTTTCACTTTACGACATTTATATTTTAGCCATAAACAAACCAAATAAACTTATTTTGACGTAACCTTTTTAAAAGACTCATATTATAAAATAGTGGTTCAGGATGCTATTTTCCCCACACTTGCTGCTCATCGGAGGCCATGTTTGATCAATACAATCTTAAGCCCCATTCCCATCTGTACCGGGTCGGCCCGGGCCGGGTTGCGTAGGTTGTTTACATATCTGGGTGGCCTGGAATTTTCCCGGGCCAACCAAGGCTCATTCTCGGCCCTCTTCCCGAGGGGGTCTGCTTCAGGCCGACCAGGGCCAACACACCCACTGCTGACAGCAAATTCACACCTTCCATTAGAGCAAGCCTCTGATTGGTGGGTAGAATCAGCCCATTCACACCTTCCATTAGAGCAAGCCTCTGATTGGTGGGTAGAATCAGCCCATTCACACCTTCCATTAGAGCAAGCCTCTGATTGGTGGGTAGAATCAGCCCACATGGGCTAAAGGCAAGGATGTGTGGAATCAACCGGGCCAGGCTGGGGCCGACTGGGGCTACCCGGCCCGGGCCGACCCGGTACAGGTGGGAATGGGGCTTTATTTAAAGTCAGGGCAACAAAATCTGACCTCATTCTGAACCAGGCCCTCAAAACATCCAAATAATTTATCACTTCCATCTTTAATTTTCTTTTCTCCCTATTGTTTTTTCTCTCTCTCAGAGCTCTGAACACATCTCATATAGAGACTTTGGGGATTAAGATGCTGCCAGGATACAAAGACCCTTATCATGGCCGACCTCTCACCAAAGGGGAACTTGGTTGCTTCTTGTCTCATTATAACATCTGGAAGGAGGTGAGAAAATCAGAAATGATGCCGTTTTTTAAACGAAGCCCGGTTTTCTGGGACAAATGAGTGTTTGTGTGCATTCAAATATGTTTTGGTGTCTTCATGTTTACAGATTTGGCTCAAAAATATATTGTTAGAGGATATAAACTCTTTTTTAGAAATAGACTGAAAATGCAAGAAATGGATGCTTGAAACATTAAATCTGAACTTTAACCACTGAACCTTCAGGGTGTCCCATAAAAACAGTTTCACTAAGCTACCTCATTCTTCCTGCACTACATTCACTATAAGTGAATTCCTCACATATACATCTTAGTTAAATAAAAACTCCTGCAGATTGATCCTTGTAAGTGGCCTCCATGTCTCTATTGGCCTCATTCAGGCGTGGACTCCCGGTTACCCCTCATGCCAGACATCATCACACTGAAAATTGGCTTTTGACCCTTGAAGACCTCTTCAGCCTTTATTGAAACCCCCCGGGGTTTCTAAGAAAGAGGAAGTCTTTAAGCTCGTAACTGAAGGATGAAGCTGTTCATGTCTTCTAAAATCAACAGGAGTGCATTAGATGTTTATTAGACCATCGTTCACTCAGCACCATCATGTGAGTTCTAGTTCCTCCTTTTTCTGAATTAAAGTTTAATACCTGCTGATTGTGTTTTGTTTTTTTAGATAGTCGACCGAGGTCTGCAGACGACCCTGGTCCTCGAGGACGACCTGCGATTCGAGGTGTTCTTTAGACGCCGCCTCCAGGCGCTGCTGCAGGAGGTCACAGCACACAAGCTGGACTGGGATCTCATGTGAGTGAAGCTTCACTCGCAGAAAAAAGGATTTTTGTAAACAAAGGATTACCTTCTTCTACAATATCATCCATCCATCTGTCACACACGATTTGTCAGATACCAGCAGGCAGATGTCACAGTAACTTCTGGGGATTTAGCATCTTAACATTCCTGAAACGTCTTCTCCTAAAAATCATTTCTGTTGTTTTATGTCTGGTTACATCAACAGTATTTAGGTGTCGTCTTACTGTTTTTTATTGAATTCATTTGTTAAATTTGATACACAATTGTACAGGCGACGTTTTTAAGGTGCTAAACTGTCTTGGATATTGAAGTAGACACTTTTATCATTGAAAATGTTATATATATCTTTAAAAGACACAAAAATAGAGTTTTTATGTTTAGGATGAGCTTATTGGATTTGCAGAAACGTAATTCTGATTAGGGTTGCATGATATTAGGAAAGCCTGTGATGCGCGATAACATATGACTTGGAATAAATAAACAAATCCATAAATCAAGAACAAAATAATCGAAACAAAGAAAAATAATAATTTTAATGACTACAAATTATCATAAAATATGGGAAAAGCAAAAATAGTGATTAAAAGATGTGAGAAAATGGAAAAAGAAAGTGGATCCTGGGAAAAGCAGAAAGAGCAGAACGGCGCTAACTCAGGTGTTTGCAAGCCATCCAGACTAAGTGCCGTCCGCCCAGGTGGCGGCCATCAAACCTATAAGAACCTACTCGATTGGCCAAATGGTTAAAGACTCCTTTTGATTTGTCAAAAACTTCATGCTTCCATTTCACAAAATGCATAATGAGTAGCAAACTTTCGAGCTGACCATTCATTGCGGTTTTATTTTTCTGTTTTTGCGATATGCATATGCTGATATCGCCATGGCGATATATTTACGATGTGTTGTGCAGCCCTAATTCTGATAACAGTCTTGAAAGTCTGAACTGTTCAGATTGATTTTCTTCTTGAAATAAATCAAACCCTTAATCAATATAATACCGATGATTTCTTCTGGAGCTGATTTCATATTTGTTGCTTAAATTGTATTCCCAAGCAGGTTGAATCCTCGCCTCTCCTCCTTCCTTGAGGGTCTAATTGCATTGTGTTGAACAAATAGCCAAATTCTTGCAAATTCTCTTGGATCTTTTGAAATAAATTACGACTTTATTTGCTGTTTGATCGCCAAAGTCTCCAAAAGGATTCCCACATTTCTTGCCGTTCCTGACCCACTGGAAAGAGATTCGGATGATTTCCAGGCGTGCCAACAACAACTCTATCAGCAAATTGTAGGATTACCATCTGAACAAACTGGGAACACAAATTCCCAGTCCTAGTTTAGTGAGAAAAGAACCTTAATTTAGAAAAAGAACATAAGTTTTAATAAATATTTGTGGTTTCGCTCTTAATCTGGAATGATTTCCAGATGCTAATGAATATTCTTTCTTCTGTCTGGGATTGTAATAACTAGTCTGGACCTTTTATTAATCAGTAAGTTGTGTTCTCGTCTGCTGTTCAGTTACATTGGACGGAAGCGAATGCAGGTGGACCATCCTGAGAAGTCTCTTCCAAACATCCATAATCTGGTGGAGGCGGATTACTCCTACTGGACTCTCGGCTACATGCTGTCATTACAAGGAGCTCGAAAGCTCCTCCGGGCCGAACCTCTGATCAAAATGCTTCCTGTCGATGAGTTCCTCCCTGTGATGTACAACAAGCACCCGATGTGAGTGTGATCCATCTCTTGCTCTTTTTGTACTTCTGTTTAGCTTCCTTCCTTTTCATACAAGTCCGTCCCTTTTCCCGTCGTTCTTCAGTTTGGAGTACATGGATCACTTCGAGCGCCGGGATCTGCGTGCATTTTCAGCCGAGCCGCTGCTGGTGTATCCCACCCATTACACGGGAGACGCGGGCTACATAAGCGACACAGAAACATCGGTCGTGTGGGACAACGAGACTGTCAAAACGGACTGGGATCGTGCCAAGTCGAGGAAAACTCAGGAGCAGGGTGAGCTGAGCTTCGAGGCCCAGAACTCTGATGTGCTGCAGTCCGATCTGGAGAACTGGAGCGCTCGAGACGAGCTGTGATGGAGGAAAGAGAACGAGAACGAACACAACTCTGTATAAAACAAAAGGGAGACGGAACAGCGACCGGGTTGGGTTTCTTACTCCACTAACGGATCTTTCTCTAGAGAGATTAGATGTAGACTTAACTCTTGAAGAGTCGACTAATAGCTTTATTTATTGCATCCAAACCTTCTCCTGATTGTGTTTCAGAAAGAGGTCTCTTTGGTTCTTCTTCTCCAAAGGTCTTGTTAAAGGTGTGGAACACTGAAAAAACATATTTAAATTATTATTTCGGATTTTAATCGGTCACTCTGAGTTTTTCATGCAGGCTGAACATGAAAATAGTCTCCTACACCTATCTCTTGCATTAGCTTCTGATAGAAGATAGACGGTGAAACTAGAATTTGAACAGCCTGGCAGATCTACGTCACTTAGCATTAATGGACTCATCCATCTTGGCTCGGGAACAGATGTTTGTTTAGCGTCCAGCAAACAGCAGAGACCGTCTCGGCTAATAGACGCTACCCACTAGCATTAGCAACTTCACCACATAGCAGAAGCTCCTCCGCGCTTGTGTTATTTGTGGATTTAAAATATCCTGTTACACGTCAGTGATAGAGTCCCTTTGCTGATATCCAATCAGAGCTGTGATGTCCAAATGTCAGGAAATAAGACTCCAGAACCCACCGTCTGAAGTCCAATCCCAATACTCGTACTGCGCCCTACTGGCTTCAGCGAAGTGCACTTGGAGGAAGTGTGCAGTAAGGCTTCAAGTGCGTAGTGCACAGGTGTGCAAATAATCGCTGAATTGGAGCAGGGTGCATTGTGTCATCAACCGCAATGCATGCTGGGATGCTGCATGTGCTACTTTTTAAAAATATCTTTATGAACAACTTTCAAAGTTCACATCTGTTGCTGTTCACAATAAATCTTAGTCTAAAACATTCAGAGCATGAATAAATATTATTAATCGTGTTAAAATGAACTTCTTTTGTTTAGAAATAAATATTTTCAAAAATGGCACTTGAACCATTGTTCCACCTATAAAATTCTCATGCTGCAATGGACTATGAGTGATAGACTTGGCCCAAGTCCACATCGATGCACACCAGTGCTGATCAAGGGTGCAAAAGGGGCGTGGTCAACTTCCACACTCGAGGATCGGGACACCCCAAGACTTGCAACTGTAGACTGGAATGCGCAATTGAAGGGTGCAAGGGTGGAAGTGCAAGTATTGGGATTGGGCCCAAAACTCAACTGTGGCCCAATCTCAATACTCGCACTTGCACCCTTGTGCCCTTCATTTGTGCGTTCCTGGCCAGGGGTGCGAATGCGTAGGGTGTCCCGATTCTCAAGTGTGAAAGTTGACCACGCCCCCATTGCACCCTTAATCTGCACTTCACCCAAGTCCGCAGCGATGCAGACCTTGGGCAAGGGAATTACCCACAAGTCATTGCTGCAGGAGAAAAGGCTCAAGTTCCTTTTCAGAAAAATGTATTTTCTAATTAAATTTGTTCATTTTAGAACGATTAGTTGATGCTCTGAATGTTTTAGACGAAGCAGCACGGAAGTAAAAATTAATTTCAAATAATTGCTTTATTGTTTGTTTGAAAGTTGTTAACAAAGGTTTTTGAGAAAAGTTTCACAGCGACCAGCATCCCGGCATGCGTTGTGATCGATGGCGCAACGCTCCCTGTCTCAATTCGGCAATTATTTGCACACTTGTGTACTACACACTCAAACCCTACTGCGCACCTTCTCCAAGTGCACTTCGCCGAAGACCGCAGGGCTCAGTGTGAGTATTGGGATTGGGCCCAAAGCTCAACTGCGATGTGACTCACTTCTAGTTCCAGAAAAGGTGCACCAGTGTTTTTCTTCCCTGAGTACGACTTGCAGGGCCTTGATTCCTCCTAGAGACCACTGGAAAGGTATTGATTAAACAAGTGCTCAACACCTTTAATAAACCTGGACTAGCTGGGTAGAACATTTGCAGCTTGAACTGATTGTTTCTTCTGTTGCATGTTTACTGGCTGTGGTCATTTCTACCAAAGAAAATGTTACTTTTAAGTTAATCCTAAAGAAAGTTCCCCTTTAGTGTCTCCTATCACTTTTAGTGTAGCTGTTGTTCAACCGTGTTACTTTTATGCTTTACCTTTTGTTTTTATTGATGAATGTATCTGTTTTCTGTGACTTACCAAAGTGCTCTCCCTTTTGGACAACAGGTTGGTTTTAGTCTTTTCCTTTTTTTAACATTTAGTCTTTTTAATACAAACTAGCAGCTTTTTTTGTCTGTTTATTGGAAATAAATGAAAATAGATTTTTTTTAAGGAACGCTTTGGTGTTTTGCCTCTCCTTAAAATGAGTCTTTGTCATAAAAAAAGCCTTTTTGGCTGACGTTTACTGAACTAAACGAGAAAACATCAGAAGATATTCACCTCGGAGCTCAGTAGACTCCTAATTGTTGTCTGCTGTGACAATTTTCACACGCAGCTGTTTTATGTGAGCCCAAACATCCCACAATGCATCCGAGACTTCCTTTAATTAGCGCCTGCTGGTGTGTGCCCTCACCATAATTACATAATGGTCAGTTAAAACGGGCTACAATTACATTCACCATGTTTAGACTCATCCTTTATTCATAATTGACCAGTGGAGCATACTTTCTGTCCTCTTCACAGATTTATGGTAATTAATGAAGAGATCCTTTTCAAATCAGAAGATATTTAATTAGAGGCATAATGTCTTTAAAAGGCCTAAATGAAGGAACACTGCTGTTATTTTAATAGCATTTTAGCTTGTTTTAATGTTAGTTTCTTTAATGTCTTATAGAGACTACTGCAAGCAGGTCAGAGGTTGGCGACGTTTGAACTCGGTGAAGAATGTTCTGCTTTGGAATGTTTTTAAGGCGGTCCTGGTTTTAAGGGCTGCCTTAAGGCGTGAAACACTGAAAAAACTTTTTTAAATCTTACTTCTGATTTATCAGTCATTCTGTTTTTCATGCAGGCTGAACATGAAAAAAGTCCCCTACACCTATCTCCTGCATTAGCTTCTGAGAGAAAATGCACGCTAACAGGATTTGAAAAGCTCGACAGATCTATGTCACATTGTCGCTGAGCATTCATGGACTCACCCATCTTGATTTATGACGGGGAAGGCTGTTGTTATTTTTAGGGTCAAGGAAACAGCAGAAAATGACCCGACTAGCAGAAGCCAACTGTTAGCATTTGCAACTTCAGCACACAGCAGAAGTTCCTCCAGGCTTGAGTTGTTTGTGGAGATAAAACATCCACGTTGCAAGTCAGTGGTAGAGATGTCACTGTAATCTAATCCGAGGTGAGACTTCAAAACCGTTGTCTGAGGCTCCGCTGTGATGTGGGTCACTGCTAGTTCCAAGAAATGATGCACCAGTGACTTTTGCCCCCGGAGAACGACTTACAAGGCATTTATTCCTAAATGAATTGATTAAACAAGTGTTCAACACCTTTAAACACAAACACACACCCCACTATTCTTCCAACTCTTACCTCTTTCAAACGGGTTTGTTTGAAGCAAACATGGCCGACCAGATCTGATCTAAACAAGCTGAATTGGTCTTGTTTATATATCAAAAGAATATCTTTTCATCTCCATAAATATTCATGTTCCTCCCTTGGGATTTTTAGGACATCTCAAAGTTGTCCTAAGGAGACCAAGCACCTGCAAAAGAGGATTTTATGCAGCACCTTCCATGTTTTAGCAGTGACAGAAACATTAACCTTGATAAGATCAGACACAAAAGCAGCTCACATCCTTTTTGAGAGCAAGTTTATGCTAATAGATCTCTGAGATGCTTCATCTTCGTCGTAGTTTTGGTCTTTTCTGTCTTTATTTTCCTGTTTAAATTATTGGTTTATGGTCATTAAGGAGTTCCAGTCACTTTATACAGATCCTTCAAGCCTAATGATGATTACAAGTGTCCCTGAGAGGACAATGTGTTCCAGTTATTGGTTTTTAAAAACTTTTTTTTTGTTGCATTGCATGTATTCGTTGATGGTATATTTCTATAAATATTTATTTTTTATTATTAATTAATAGAAACCATCTATTTTCTACATTTACTGCACAAGCATTATGTTCTTAAGAAAATGTCTCTATAGGGCTAACGTAGGCACATTTTGAGGCATCAAAAGGGTTAGAAGAGAGAACCAAACTAGGTCTTTGAATACATGACACATTTAAAAAACAAATCAGTGAAGTTAAGATTTTCTTAAAACTGGTGTGGGGGCCCAAAAAAGTCGACTATAAACAGTTAAATTCAATTCAAGTTTATTCATAAAGCGCCAAATCACGACAAGAGTCGTGTCAAGGCACTTCACACAGTAAACATTTCAACACAGGTCAGTTCATTTAGCCAATCAGTAAAAAGTTTATAAGGAACACGGAAGATCGCATCGAGTCACTGACTAGTGTCAGAGTCTTTACAGCGATCCTCATATTAAGCAAGCATGTAGCGACAGTGGAGAGGAAAACTCCCTTTTAACTGGAAGAAACCTCCAGATGATCCTGGGTCAGTATAAGCAGCCATCCTCCACGACTCACTGGGGGCCCTTTAGCCCTTGTGTTGAAATGTTTGGACACCCTGCTCTAAGACTTCCTCTATGACTCTAATCTTCTGACCTCTAGAGGAGGGTCAAAGTACTGTAGAGGGCAAATACCAATGTCATTTTTCTTACCAGTGTCCTATAACATATTATGATTGATACTGACACAAATATTATATTAATATTAGCTCATAAAATCCAATCATAAATCTAATAAAACTTGAATGCACATGGAAACACTTTACAAGGGTCCCTTAATTGATGTTACTTAGTGCATTATTAAGCATGAATAAACTAATAAAGTAATAACTGCTTAATGTTGAATCCAATTTGAAGTAATTTATCACTAAGCAGACCCTCGGGCCCTTTGTCCTAATAAAGATCCTTAGTGCATTATTAAGCACTAATAAACAAAGTAACATTATTAAAGGGACATTTATTGCAAAATGTTACTTTACATTTATTACAGTAACCTTTTTTTATTTAAACTGAATTTTTTACTGTCCACAATGACATTGTTATTGGAGGCCGGTGTAATTAACAAAAATATTAAAGAACCATCTGCAGGGACCCCTCTTGTGTCTGCTAACAGACGCTGTGTTTTATTTAGTGGTGATCTATTGGAAGTCACGACATTTGGTTTGAGCTGCTGATGAAGAATGTCACAGCGGCTCTCCTGACAGATAGTTTAACGTTATATTATTGCTGAGCGACACACAGAGTGACGCTGGCAACGGTGAAGCTTCGCCTCAAGGGCAGCTAATGAGCTTTGGCGTGTGTTGTGTCTGCTCATGTATCAGTGTCCAAAAAGCGTGTTTATGCCTTGTACGCCATGGGACCATTGTGTGTGTGTGTGTGTGTGTGTGTGTTCATGTGCACTGACGTTTGCCTGTATGACTCAGACTAATCCTATTAGATCTCTCACTCTCCCACCTCTATATTTACCTCCACCCCTCTCTCTCTCCCTCTGAGATTAACCCGGGTATTTACTGCTCCTGTATATCACTGAGCTGCTTCTTTTTTCCAGTGAACAAACCGGGCTTTACCAGAACCAGGCTCAAACCGTCAACTTCCTCGCTTCATCCCTCTGACACTGTCACATGCTGGCTGTTAAATCACCTTGATGCAAAAGATCCAGAAGTACGCTTTCAAGGGTAAATGCACGTGAAAAGGCATCAACGACCCCCCTCGGCTGCCGGGGGAAGGTTGAGATGGGTCACTGGTCTCACTTGATGCTTGCATTTAATCCTGTCTATGTCTTTGCGTTCCCTCCACCACTGAGCATGCCCATCCTCTCTTCACAATCCAATTTGTCCTTTTTCTTCATCCCTCCTTCCTTCTTTTTTAAAGTAATCCGATTTCTGCTGTTGAGCTGGTGTTTTAAAAGCTGCAGAACACACTAACACACACACACACACAGACACACACACACATGCATGGAGCAGCATCAACCCCTCAATTACCTCACCGCCACACCTCCAGCTATCTGTAATCTTCCTCAGTGGACTCCAGAGTGCAGGGTGAACAAATTACAAAGAGAGGAAGCGGCGAAAGCTTTCACAAAAATAACAAACGTCACCAAATTCAACAGAAGAAGGAAAATAAATCACATAAACATCAGAATTGCTTTAAAAGGGAGAATCCGTGGATTCTTGCGGGAGTCGAGAAGTTTCAAGGTGAGGTAAATTACTTGAGTAGATTAAACTGCCAGAGCATGTACAGAGATTGATGGTCTATTAAATTAGCAACTAACAAAACACTGCAGCATCCATGATGGAGACTAGTTACCATCGATCAGCTTGAAAGGTGAACCAAAACATATATTTTTTTAAACTCCAGATGTGAAATAAAGTAAATCCTCAATCTCCAGGTGTAAGCTCTGTTGCTGCTAAATTTTTAACGTGAGTCTCTCACAGCGGTTAGGGATGTTTCACTCCAGAATTGTAGTCTCAAATGGATTTGGCACAGCTCAGCTCCAGAGAGCCAAATCTAATTTGTGAGGTTATCGCTGTCAATTCACGCCCTGCAGCGGCGGCAGCGACAGAAATACTGGCTGGATTAAACAGATAAAACCCATTTTCAGCTCTTAGGCCTCAACTTTATTACAAGTTATGGTTTGATTTGACTTTGACTTGTACTTTAGTATTTCGAACTAACGTAATGTTTTCATGCGCTTTTTTGTTTTTTGTCTTTGTTTTATCTGAATAGTGACATGCAGGACAATGTCAGTTTGGTCGTGTAAACACCTGCTGTAGGATAAAACGGGATTTAATCACTAAGCAGCATCACTTGTGGGTGGAAAACACCTTTAGGCAAGGACGAAATTTTGATTTCAGAAGTGGGGGGGACACAGCAGGCTTGTGCGGATTTTGGGTAGGGGGTGTTATGTAAAGACCCCTTGACACGTCACGTGCCCATCTCAATAATTTTTCCATCCTCAATATATATATATATATATATATATATATATATCAAAGTTAAAAAATGTACAACTCTATTATTATTTTTATCTATTATCATTATTGAAGTGCAGTTTTGGCTGTTGACAATGGATAGGCCATTGTATTTATTGTTTTGGGTCTTTTTTTATTGTTTTGGGTGCAACATTTTCTAACAGGGAGTGAGATTCCTTTTTTATTGAATTTTTGTTTGTTATTTTTATTCATTTAGAAGTTCTGGTTCTGGACATTTCAATGTTAAATGAAGGTTTATTTGTTGCATTTTAAAGGGTGTACTTGCATTATTATGATATACTAACATTATATTAGTGGTTATTTTGGTCTAGATAATGTTGACAATGATATCGTTTATCATCAACAATTTGTTGGACAAAATATCGTCCAGCAAAATGTGTTACTTTCCCAGGCCTAGTCAAAAGTATAAAAATTATTTATACATAAACGGTCCCTCCTGAGATCTGGCCGTTATTTCATTTGCTGTGTTAGAGGACATGCTGAACTAATGTTTTACACATGATCATCACCCTAACATTTGAGTGTATAAAAACATATTAAATATGTTTTTTTCCCTTAAAAGTGTTTAAACAGTTGTTGCATTTCAACACACAAAAAATAAATGGAAAAAATAAGATAAATCTAATGAAAAGTGTACATCTTTGACATTAAGCTTAAAAAAATCTGTTGATAATGATGATACTGTTCATTTTTCAGAGCTTTTTAATGTGAACATATACATTGCAATAGATAAGTTTACAATAAAGTTAAATGATAAAAGTTTTGAAGTTACACTTCTACTACTACTACTACTACTAGTAATAATAATTATGATGATAAACGTAATAAAAAAAATAATAATTATAATACGAATAAATTGTGTCTGAGGAGTCAGTTATGTGGAGGAGATGAGTTTGTAAAAGTTAGTTTTGAGTATGTTTGTGAAGGAGGAGGTGAGTCTGAGCTTAATGCAGGGGTGTCACATGTTCCAACTTACGTTTTGACTTTGAAAGAAGTCTCTTATATCCACTTTTCGTTTTCTTGACATGCTGCCGCCTGGCTGTGCCTAACTACCAAAGACTCACAAATGAACACTTATTCAAATGTTATGTAATGGAAGCTGAGCTGAGCTCTGATATTACACAGCGTCTAGTTGACGATGTGACTCAGTACCGGTGTTCCCTAGCGGCTCCAAACTAGCAAAACAACGTGAGCACGTTCTGACTGTTTACAACTTGAGTGACAGCAGCAACAGCCAATAATACGTTAGCAAGTATCAGCAGAGCCAATAGATTAGCTTTTGGGTGGGTCTAATAGGAAACCGGTTTCCGTTTCGGTCCTAGTGCTCAACCAAATCCATTTAATGGAGCGTAATATTGTTTTTGGACGGAAAAAAGTGCAGGGGACCAAAACTGCCTTTTGAAAAAGTGGGGGGGACATGTCCCACCCGTCCCCCCCCAAAATTACGTCCCAGCCTTTAGGCTTGATTTGAATGGTATACTGTAAGAACATCAGCTGGATAAATGTAGTCTTGTTCCTACAAGGCTGTGAAAGGGTGGAACACTCCTTCCAGGTTGGGAATGAATTTCTTTTATCAGGCTGACTTGACGATGAGTGATGGTGGTATGGAGGAAGAGCAATGAAGATGAGCTTCTTCTGTAGCAAGGATGGAGCTGAGTCAAAAGACAAATAGATTTATTGGGTCATCTGCATTCCTAACAGGGGTGGTTCTAGGTGGGGTCCAGGATGGGCCAGTGCCGCCCTGATAGCCAGCTTGGAACCCCCTCTGTGCCCCCTGAGTAACACTGAGCAGTTTCCTGCTTCTCCACACTACTGGTTGAAAGTGGACTTACAAGTGTCGTAAACAACCGTGCTGCAGCTCGCGCCAACAACGAGCCAGCTCTGACATGAGCCAACTAATACTAAATTAAACCATGCAGTAGAAGCATCCAAACTGTTGGACTAAATATATTACAAGTTCTGTAGCAACAAGGCCAGTCTGCGATTTCTAGTCTCCTTAAGCTCCCTCAAACTTGCGCAGGATGCACCGATGTTCACCCTGGTTTTAGCTCTTTTATTCGCCTCCAAAGACATTACTCTCTTACTTTTACTTCCAGACTCTGACATGACTCCAGCAAAATCAAACTTCTTTTTCTTATTTTTGTGCTTTTTATTGATGGTCAGTGAACTGAAAATGCAAACTACTAGCATAACTACTAGCAGCTGTAAAGGAGGTTAAAGCCTGGGGCACACCGGAGGCAGACACGCCCACTATTTGGAAAAGTCAAGTGGTCACACAGGATGCGCCACTCCGTGCTGCTGAGCGCTTCTTGGAAAGTCGCGCATTAGTCACAACATCACGTGGGACTTGAGAACAGGAAGTGGGAAAGGACTCAATGTACATGATCAGACTTGCCGTCGAGTTTTGTGAGACTAGTTCATTAAAGATTGATAAGTACGCTATTTATTGGAATATTTTAAGATCAATAGTACTTTAAGGTTATCAAAACTGCGGCTGGGTTTGTACTGTAAATCCGTTCCGCGTCTCAGCGCGGTGCTTCTGGGATGAGGCGTGGCACTCCCCATATAGCCACTCTCATTAACTATAATGGACCGTTCTTAGATCTGTTCTTGGCCCAATTTTCTTTATTATATATATGCTCCCACTTGGGGATATTTTTAGAAATTTTGGGATATCCTTCCATTCTTATGCTGATGACACACAGCTTTATCTCAAAATTGATTCAGTTTCCTCGTCATCTACACTTTCTGCTCTTAGTGCATGCCTGGATGCGACAAAGACATGGATGTCTGAAAATTTTCTCCAGCTAAACAGCAGCAAAACAGAGGTACTGCTCATTGGTACTCCTCATCAGGTCAAATCTTCTAACCTAAAAAAATATTACCATATTAGGTAATGGTAAATGGCCTGTATTTGATATAGCGCCTTCTAGAGTCCTGGAATCCCCCAAGGCGCTTTACAACACAATCGGTCATTCACCCATTCACACACACATTCACACACTGGTGGTAATGAGCTACGATGTAGCCACAGCTGCCCTGGGACGCACTGACAGAGGCGAGGCTGCCGAGCACTGGCGCCACCGGTCCCTCCGACCACCACCAGCAGGTAACGTGGGTTAAGTGTCTTGCCCAAGGACACAACGACAGCGACAGACTGAGCGGGGCTCGAACCTGCAACCTTCCAATTACGGGGCGAGCACTTAACTCCTGTGCCACCGTCGCCCCACAAGGCAGTAACATAGGTAGTAACAACATTTTCTACATCTACCACTAATCTCGGAATCAAACTGGACCAACATTTATCACTTGAAAATCATGTCCGTCATCTTTCTAAAGTATCATTTTTCCATCTAAAAAACACAGCAAGACTTCGCCCGTTTCTTACCCAATCAGATGCTGAGAAGTTGATCCATGCCTTTGTTTCATCTAGGCTAGACTACTGCAAATCCTTACTTACTGGAATTTCTAGTGGATGCCTACAGAAACTTCAGCACATCCAGAACTGTGCTGCCAGAATTGTGACAAGGGGTCACAAATACGACCACATCACACCTGTACTGAAGTCTCTTCATTGGTTACCAATCCCCTATAGAATTAAATACTAGCTAGGTCTCCTTACCTATCAGTGTATCCACGGAAATGCTCCTATTTATCTTAAAGAGCTCCTTACTATCCACATCACCTCAAGAAATCTTCGCTCTAGAAATTCTCAATTCCTGCAACAGCCCAGAACAAAACTTCGTACCATGGGAGATCGAGCTTTTCAAGCAGCAGCCCTACGCCTGTGGAACACACTCCCTGAAACATTGAGAGCACCTCAGAGTGTTGAGTGTTTTAAAAAAAACATCTGAAGACATTTTGCTTTACACGAGCTTTTCCAAACTGATTGGTATTGCTGTTGTTTAACCATGTGTTAACTTTGCATTGTATGGTTTTATGTATTTTTTTATTTGTTTTTATTCATTGTTTTTAATTATTCCATACCTTGTTTCTGATTTCCTACTGTAGCACTTTGAGATTTCATTGAAATGTAAAGTGCGTTACAAATAAAATCTATTATTATGATTATTATCTCTTTAAAATGACGGCACAGCGCTTCTGCCTCTGGTGTGCCCTGGGCTTAAGAGCGCCCCCATAGAGCACCTACCCACTCCAGAAAACTGTTAAGTGCAGTGATTGGTCAGCAGAAAGCTGCAGAATGGTGTCAAATATGAAAATGGTCAAGTTTCTAACTCAGCAATCACTGATATTAATGTTAAAGCTCTAACTAAAATCTATTTAGTGTTACTTTAATAAATCACATGACTTCTCTGTTGTTATTTCTTTCCAAGGCTTTCAACTGAAACTCAGTGCTGTCTTCCATCATGGTGGACCTGTTCCTAAACCAGGTTCTTGTAGAGAACAACTCGGACCAGGATAAACTCAACACAGAGCGTGAGATAATAGGGATCCTTGAAAACCGCATCCTGCTGCTGTTCTTCGCTGCAGCTGAGTGTGAGAAGTGCCAGAAATTTCTGCCAACTTTAAACGACTTCTTTAAAAAACTGAAAGATCCAGCGTACATCGAATACCCCAAGCTGCTCGCACTTGTCTACATCAGGTCGATTATATTCATATCTGAACTGTATTGGCTCATGACGGCTGGTGAATTACTCATGAGATATCCATTTCCTCTTTCTAGCTTGGACCAATCAGAAGAGCAGCAGGAAAGGGTTCTGAAAGAACTTAACAAAAGGATTTTGTTTTTGGCGTTTGAAGATCCATACAGGAAGTGAGTAGGTGGCGAGAGGGATTAGCATCCAAATATGTGTGAATTTAGTTTTTGTGCAGTAAACGCCTCCCTTCATGTTTTTTTCAGGGAGCTACAGAGCATATTTCAGGTGAAGGACATTCCAGCAGTGGTCGCCCTACGTCCCGACGGCTCCGTCCTCTCCCCAAATGCCGTGCAGGACATCTCTCGCCTGGGAACGACCTGTTTCCGTAACTGGCAGGAGTCGGCCGAGCTCGTGGAGAGGACCTTCATGCTGAACGAGGAGTTTGATGACCCCAACCTGCGGAGTGCCACCGACCCTGTGAGGAGGCTCAAGTACAAGACGGTGGATGACAAAAGAAAAAAGAGTTGGTGGAAATTATGGGAGGGGGGAAAAGACACACATGATGAGGAAGAGAAGGATGAAACCTGGAATGTGACGACAAATGAAAATAAAGGACTCCAGAGGAGGAGAGCAGCGTTTTAAATGGAGTCCGTGGTTATTACTGTTCACCTCCTTCTCAGACAAGTTCATACACACACATACACTTACACGGACTTCCTGACCAACCGCCCTCAACATGTCCGACTGGATAACCGCTGCTCATCAACAATCACAATGAACACTGGTGTACCACAAGGCTGTGTGATGAGCCCTTTCCTCTACTCCCTTTTCACCCACGACTGCAGACCTGCTGATGGTTCCAACACCATCATTAAGTTTGCAGATGACACCACGGTGATTGGCCTCATCAGTGACAACGATGAGACCGCCTACAGGGAGGAGGTGGACCGTCTGGCTGAGTGGTGCGACACAAACAACCTGCTGCTCAACACTGAGAAGACTAAGGAGCTCATCGTGCACTACAGGAGGAATGCTGACCCACATCCACCCATCCACATTAAGGGGACGGCAGTGGAGCGTGTGAACAGCTTCAAGTTCCTGGGAGTCCACATCTCCAAGGATCTCACCTGGACTACCAACTGCTCCAAGCTGGTCAAGAAGGCTCACCAGCGCCTCTTCTTCTTGAGGACTCTGAGGAAGAACAACCTGTCCTCAGACATACTGGTGAACTTCTATCGCTGCACCATCGAGAGCATCCTGACCAACTGTATAACAGTCTGGTATGGGAACTGCTCCGCCTTGGACCGGAAGGCGTTGCAGAGGGTCGGGAAAACTGCCAGCGCATCGCCGGAGCACCACTTCCTGCCATAAAGGACATCTACAGGAAGCGGCGTCTGAAAAGGGCTAGGAAAATCATCAGAGACCACAGTCACCCATCACATGCACTGATCACCCTGCTGCCCTCTGGGAGGCGCTACAGGAGCCTCCGGACTAAGACCACCAGGTACCGGAACAGTTTCTTCCCCACAGCTGTCAGACTCCTGAACTCTGCCTCCTGACATATGATCCACGTTAAACTCATGGACTGCTTGTATTAACTACAGCCTGCACATACTTATAGTCATAGAATATTCATAACATACTTCATACCGTGTACATTATAGCATACGTAATAGATCCATTTCTGTAATATACTTACACATCTATATTATTGCTAACATATATTGTCATACATCTATATCACGGCTGAAGCACTTTCTGGATGGATGCAAACTGCATTTCGTTGCCCTTTACCTGTACATGTGCAATGACAATAAAGTTGAATTCTATTCTGTTCTATTCTATTCTATTCTACACACATGCATGCGTGTGCGCACACACAAAAGGAAAAACATACCTGAAGCCATGACTTAAAAAGTGTTTGAGTATTTTACAGAGAAATATGATGACCTTAAAACACATTATTCAACTTATAATTTTATTTCCTATCAGTTGTTTTTCCATCATGCTCTAATTTAATCATGGGTTTTTAAAAGACAGCAGCGATGCATCACATTGGTGCGCCGTGGCATTTAATGTTCATCCCTGTAATTCACAAATACTTTTAAATTACTGCAGAGTTGGATGAGTTTGTTTGAGGAATGCAAATGTAAAATCATAAATGATGAGTCGTTTCAGCTGTAACTAGAAGAGACCTTTATGCTTATTATCACTGTAGATTTTCAATGATTTTATAGAAAGGCATTTGTTCAAATTCACTCAAGGAAGCATGTGAACGTAACAATGAGTCGGCCTCGCTCATTTCAGCAAGACAAACTGCGTTTCATGCAACAGCAGTAGAGGAGTCTGAGTTTTAATCCACAGCAAAGACTAATTTCCCACAGTTTGAGAAAACCTCCAGCAGAACCAAATGATCTCCATGTTGGTTTGCTGGGGTCTGAAAGAGCAGGAATGAGAAAAACACACAACGGTTTGCCAATTTGTACACAGTGTAGTCACCCCCATCTACTTCTGGACCCCCTCCCCCCAAAAAAAATAAAAATAAAAAAGAATGGGAGTCTGTGAGCTGATGAGTTATTTTCTGATTCTGTTTGGTATGCACCATGGATTTCACATATGACGCCCGTGAATTGTGAAGATACATTCTGATGCCAAGAAAGCTTGGTGTTCCAAGAGGGGCTTGAAGTAGATCTGCTGCTCCTTCTCATCAAGAGCATCCAGTTGAGGTGGCTCGGGCATCTAGCAGGATGCCTCTTGGACACCTCCCTGATGAGGTTTTCCAGGCACGTCCAACCAGGAGGAGACCTAAAGGAAGACCCAGGACACGCTGGAGGGACAATGTCTGGATGGATGGATGGATGGATGGATGGATGAAGGTGACAGGGAAAAGCTGTTGTGTCTTAATGCAAAAGCGGTCCTTTCTGAACTTTGCTAAGACTTCAGTGTACCAAGACTGTTTTGGTGATGAATGATGTCACTGATCACCCTCAAAAGGCATCTATGGATATTAATAACAAATTTTATTCTGACAAAGTGTGCCGCAAATTAATTTATTCGGGGGACCGAAAGAACAGCTGTGAGCTGTGAAAAGCAGTGTCCACTGACCAAAAGAAGCATTGTTTTTCATGGCGCTCTGTAGGAGATCACAAAGCAGAGTAAAGGAGGATGTTGTCGGGAGATTTCCTCTGCATTTTCAGCTTTGGGAGGTTAGAAACAGCAACTTTAAAGCAGCAGCAAAGCTGCATTTCTTCTTTTATTTCTGTTCTTCTTCACCAGGAACTCTTCCAGTTTTACAAATGCTGGTTGTTAGTTGATGTCTGCAGATATTATTCCCCACTGAGATACAACCAGTAGGCACGAGTTAACAGTGACTCTACCAGGCCTTTTCCCGGTACTCTCTCCAGTTTACTGACTACATCGGTGACTAATCTTGGTGTTAAACTGGATAGCGCCCTTAGTTTTGATACCCATATCAATGGAGTGATCTCCTCCTCCTTTTTCCACCTTTGTCGGCTGGCAAAGATCAAACCATTTCTGTCACATCATGATCTTGAGACGGTGGTCCATGCTTTTATTACGGTGCGATTGGACTACTGCAACTCTGTTCTATTCGGTGTGAGCAAGGGCTCAATAGCTAGGTTGCAAATGGTCCAGAATGCTGCTGCCAGATTTTTAGAGGGCAGGCGCAAGTTTGACCACATAACTCCTGTCCTGGCTGCGCTTCACTGGCTGCCCGTTGATGTTAGGATTCATTTTAAAATACTTTTAATAGTTTTTAAAACGTTAACTGGTTTAGCCCCTCCTTACTTGGTGTCACTACTTCAACCATACACCCCTTCATGGTCACTCCGCTCGGAGAACTTCATGCTCCTATCGGTCCCAAGAACGCGCCTAAAGACGCGTGGTGATAGGGCTTTTGCTGTGGCAGGTCCTAAGCTTTGGAATAAGCTTCCTCTGAGCATAAGGGCCTCCACCTCTGTTGCGGTTTTTAAGGCAAGGCTAAAAACACATTTTTATGACCTGTCTTTTAACCTTTCTAACTAGTTTTATTGTTTTACTTATAGCGATTTTACTCATTATATTTTTATCTGTATCGTGTGATATAATGTTTTATTATTTTATTTTATTTTTTTATATCTTTATTTCATTCAATAAAAAATAACACAACAGACACTAAACAATATTCATGAAAACACAATATATATTTGAATGAAAGGGAGCAGATAGAAGAAAAATCTTATTATTTCTGCCCCCTTTTTAAACTTAAATATCAAGTTATATTTGTGCAGTCCCTCACCAGTTCTTTCAGTCCCGTAACTGTTCACATTTGTTAATTATTATGTCCACATCAATTGTCCGTTGTCATATCCACTCAACACACGTGATTTAATGTGTAGACTGAACACTTTTAGAGTTCTTGACTCTTTCCATTCTCTGTCCAGGCAATTCCACAACTTCACACCATTCACAGATATGCTCATTTCCTTCATTCTTGTTCTAAATCTAGGTTTTTTAAAGATTTCAAATCCCTTCAACGAATAACTGCTATCTCTCTTTTCAAATATATGCTGAATATTCTTTGGCAATGTACCTTTATTTGCTTTATACATTATATGCAATATTCTCCAGTTGACCAAATCATGAAATTTAATTAATTTTCTGGACTTAATGTTTTATGTTTTTATTTGATCAGTGTAGCGCCTTGGTGGCATCTCTTTGCCTGTAAGGCGCGATTTATAAATACAGTTGAGATGAGTTGAGTTGAGTTGAGTTAGGTGATAGGTTGGTCCCTAAAATGGTCCAGAAATGGCCTCAAAGGTTCAATCCTCCTAGTGGCTGCCTGCAGTACAGGTATGAAGCCCCGCCGCCTCCATAAAAAGCACATTTTTGATAACATTTCCAACCAGTTAACACAATTCTGACTATTATATGACTAATACAATAGAAGTATTTTTGTGTTTTACAAAAATTGGGGTTAGGACCCCACTTTGGGTCACAGACCACTAAGCTGGAAGTCGTCAGAGGATCTCCAGAAGTAAAATAAATAAATAAATCCAATTTAATTGACTGAAAACTAAAGGTTTAAGTCAAAAATGTAAATGAGTGGTACATTATGAGTTGAAGCAATAGTCTGATTCATCCAACCAATGATTGTGAGGGCTACCAGTTTGAGAACCACTGATAGAACTGAATAAGTAAATTACTACTTTTCTTACTTGTTACTTTTTCTCAGATTTAGAAAAAAACATGTAATTTCTTGCATTGTAAACAAATTCACATATTCTGTAACTACAGTGCGTGTATGTTTTGATACAGATCGATGGAACAGTTGTTTTCTGGTGCCTTTTAGTGTCTAAGAGAAGTTTATTCTAATATTCACCAGTCTTTTTTTATTTCTCTTTACTTGGATTATAACTAATTGAAGTTTTTCCTGCTCATTTTCAAAATGCAATAAACTCTTTCTTTGTGCAGAAACTGTGTCTGTGTGCCATAACGTGCTGTTTCAGTAAAGTCAATTAAATAATATGAGTGTGTGTGTGTGTGTGTGTGTGTGTGTGTGTGTGTGTGTGTGTGTGTGTGTGTGTGTGTGTGTGTGTGTGTGTGTCTGTTGCTCTGCTACCTTGTCCTCAGGTCCCTCCCACCATGATGGAGTAGGCGGTGTGGAGGAGCGGAGACATGGAAAACAAAGACGGAGCGAGCAGCTAATACCAGTAAGGTCAACAAGACACAGTCAATGGGTGGATATGATTCAGACTGACAGACTGGGAACTGATTCAACACCAAGAAAGTCTTGAGAAGTAAACTAAAACCTGCTTTGGAGGTGTTTTCTTTCATACTTCCTGCCCAAAGGGGACATATTACAGGTAAGCAACTGTGAGGATTATCAGATTATATGTGATTAATAGATGTGTGAGTGGAAATATAAAGCAAAGTCGTCTCTGGTGATGCATTTTTGCAAACTTCACCATAATTGTCAGGCTTTTTTGGTGTTCAGAACAAATAATCATTAACATCTTTACACATCTTGATTTTAGAACCATAAGATGTTGCTTTAGGGTGCAAACTGACCCTTTATGCAGTTTCATTTGTTCCCATTTAAAACGATTGTATTTTTGAATAAATTACAAGGGTACATATAAGGGTGCACATATGCATAAGATGATCCAATTACAAAAATGTTTTGTGCAGATGTTTGTGTCCAACCTCTCTAGCAAGCCTTTTAACTTATACGATTACGCAGCGTTGACCAGAGGTTTTGACAAGACCAAGTTTGTTCATGAAAAAAGGCCTTTCAATCACGATGGCCACAAAGATAGACATCACAACGGTCGGGTGCGGATTCACAACTGTAAAACTCATCAACCCTTAATCCCAGTCACAAACTGTCAGTTTCAAGAGGCAGGCACACAAACTCCCATAAATGCAAAGTAAAGAACGAGCTGCTGTCATTCAGGACTTGGACCAGACATTGATTGACAAGACGCCAGGGTGACATGCAAAAATCTCCTAAATCATTTGTGTTTAGTTAAAGTCAAAGTTAAAGTTCCATTAGTCGTCACACACGAGTGAAATTCATCTCTGCATTTGACCCATCCCTCTAGGGAGCGGTGAGCTGCAGCTGTGGCTGCACTCGGGAACTACATGGTGGTTTAACCCCCAATCTAAGCTCTTAAAGCTGAGTGTCAAGTAGGGAGGCATTGGGACCCACCTTTAAAGTCCTTGGTATGACACTCTACCACTAGGTTACTGAGAAGGTTTGAACTAAATGGATTTCTAGTCCTCAGTGCCTCATCATGGTGGACCTGTTTGTTGACCGGGTCCTTTTGAAGAACAACAAAGACCAGGATGAGCTGGACACAGAGCGTGAGATTGTTATGCGCCTGCAGAACCGGATCCTGATGCTCTTCTTTGCGTCTGCTGAATCTGAGACCTGTCAGCAGTTTGCTCCCAGACTTCATGACTTCTTCAAACAGCTGACTGATGAGTTTTACGTGGAGCGCTCGTCTCAGCTGGTTCTTCTTTACATCAGGTGCACCAAGCAGATGTTCATTATGTTTTTATTTATTTGATTTTTGCTACGCATGCACTGTTTACCTTGCACAAAACAGGGTGTAGTTTGAAATCCACACGACGGTAGCTTCTCAATGAACTTGGAGGAAGATTTTAGCATCAGATAACTGCTTTGATGCTCTATTTGTGTTTGCATTTTCTGACATTTCAGACACTTTTATGAAAATATTTTGTCTATTTTCTGTTTTTATTTTTAGGTAATATACATAAAGTTACATAGTTGTGACTTAATGCAAGCAGCAACTACAAAAGGTTCATGTGGAAATGTTCTTGCCTTGGATTTATTTCTTTAATTTCCTGTTTTATGTTTAATTTCTCAGTTTGGATCAGTCGGAGGACCAGCTGGAAACCTTCCTCAAGGAGCTCCCCAAGAAGTCCCTGTTTCTGGCCTATGAGGACCCCTACAGGAGGTGACTAGACATGATAGGTCACTACCTGCTGCTGAATAATGACAATGTAAATATGCTTCCCTGCAAATCCATTAGCTCAATGCTGTGCATGTGTGCATTTGCCCACAGGCAGCTGGAGACCATGTTTAACGTGCAGGAGGTGCCGACTGTGGTGGTTCTGCGACCTGACTGCTCTGTTCTCATCTCCAATGCAGTGGAGGAAATAACCCACCTTGGTCCAGGCTGCTACCAAAACTGGCACGAAGCAGCAGAGCTTATCGACCGGAACTTTCTTACCAAGGAAGACTTTGAGGACAAGTCCATGCGCAGCTTCAGCGACCCCATTAGAAGGCTCAAATATAAGGTGGATGATGAGAAGAAGAAAAAGAAGAAGAAGAAAAACAGAGGTTGGGGTGGAGGTGGTGATGAAAAGGAGCAGGTGGAAGCAGGAGCACAGAACGAGGATGGAGTAGGGTCGCCATGGTGATGGAGAATCGGAGAATGTGAACTCACTCAAAATTGTTGCTATTAGAGATTTAAATCTATTTTACAAAGCTTCTGGTGCAGACAATAATATTTAACCTTTCTCTACTAAGGAAAAAAAAACACTTGTGCACCATACCATACTACCATACAATAGCATCGTACCACACAGGGCTTTCACATCTGGGTCGGCACAAACCAACCCCGGTTTGGTTTACTGCGTTCACATCTGGGTAACCTGTTCGTTTTCTGTGCTCAGCTGACCGTTTTCTTTGGACCTGTTCTCTAGCTGTCTGCTTTGTGCGAAGCCAACACGACGAACCTACGACCGACTGATTAGTTGGCCAAAGTTCACGCCTACCTATGGAGGGAGGCTCTGATTGGTGAGTAGAATCAGCCAGCAGTGTGCACGCGCAACTCATGATCAGTCTGGATACGGTGGGGTAAACGACTTCTCCGACTCCTGCTCGGACCTGCTGCTCCAGGCTCAGGCTCTTCAAAACAGATCTTACAAGTTGTCTTCTTGTGCATTGCCACAAAAACAATTAATAAATAAATAAATAAATAAATAACCCCAGTCATGCCTGCTCATGTGCAAAGTAAATTTTATACATGATGTAATAGTGACGGGATGGGCTCTAGAACTTTTAGTCAGCGGTAATAAAAAAACAGCGCTGATCTGTTGTCTTTAAATGTTTGCCAAGTTCAAATAGAGGTTTAGTGTGGTACCAACTTGTGTCCCTATAACTTGTTTCATCACACACGGGAGGATTAGTCTGACTTCAACATCACATCTCAGTAAAAATAAAGTGAGTCGTCCAATCAAAGCACCCTCTGCATAATTTGAAATCAATGAATTATTCAGCACTATTAAAATATATATTTTTAGTGGCTGTTGTGTTTGGAGTGTTTGTGAAGTCTGGCTGCACTTTACAGCTCTCACAAGCAGCAATCACAGCCATTCAGAGGGAGTCGAGTGAAATGATGGGGGAACATAATCAGTGATTTCCTTTAAAATCTACTGAAGACTGTTTAGCCCCTGCACACTTCCTCCCACTTGTATGCGGCACTGATGATGCTTTTGTGTGATCAGTCGGATCAGGTTTTTGCAACAGTTCCCCTCCTTCAGAGGCCGTGAATAGGTTTCCTACCTGATTCTGAGTGGCCTGCGCCTTATAACACGCTGTTGGCATCATAGCAAAGAGAAATGGCTGTGTGACAGTAATGCAGCAGAAAACGGATCTGAGGGGCAGATGATGAAACCAGAGTATCATCAGGTGTCATTGGGCTGAGGGTTTGATTGGTTTATGATGTGATGTGCTTTAGCAGCTCGGCCCAGATGACTTATTGCAAAGCTTTAAAGCCAGGAACAGATTGACAAATAGGTCATATTCCCAATCTGAGCTGCAGGAGCCAAAACTCTCCGTGACTCCCATGGAAATGTTGCAGGAGCTTGTGGTGGCTGTGGGGCGAACACAAAAGCAGCCCTTCCTTCCTCTGTGATTGATTTGCAACTCGGAGGTGGCGAGACCCGAAAGAGGAGACAGATGCCCAAAATAAATGCTGTTTGTTTCAAATTCTCCTGCCTGCACAGCAGCGTATTGTTGCTCACTCAGACAAACCTCGGAAACATGAACGAAACCCCCTCGCCTCCCCCATCTCTTTATCTCTCTCACCGTGTGTATATGTTTGTAGCCTTGTGTGCGTGCGTGCGTGTGTGTGTGTGCGCGCGCATAAACGCTCAAACGCGCACACACAGAAAAGCATAAAAGCACAGACGCGTTGCGCGCTCTCGAGTGCAGAACGCGCAACAAGCGGACCAGCAGAGAGAGAGAGAGAGAGAGAGAGAGAGAGAGAGAGAGAGAGAGAGAGAGAGAGAGAGAGAGAGAGAGAGAGAGAGAGAGAGAGAGAGAGAGAGAGAGAGAGAGAGAGAGAGAGAGAGAGAGAGAGAGCGGAAGGACGGATGCAAGGCGAGGCCAGAAGTGGGAAACCTTGTCGCTCCTGGTTTTCCAGCTGTTATTTTTTGATTATTTCTTATATTTTTTATTCATTTCTAAATATTTTTGTTTCATTTTTTTTAAAGAACGAGAAATCTCAACATCCGTCCTGATGTGCTGCTGCGTCTCATCTCGATTGCTCAGTGAAACGCGACGCGCCTCTTATCGCGTTATTTTCCATTAAAATGACGGGATGTTTTTAATAAAAACCGCTGGAAACGCGCGTACAGCATCGATGACAAGCGACTGCTGGCTTTTACGAGAATCGGAATCGACGGGAGGACGCAGAGCGACCACGGTTTGTGCAATAATTTGCGCCTAATTATCTTTTTTTTTCGCAGCTGATCGAGTGTTATTTATTTTATTATTTTTATTCATAATTTTTGCTCTTTCCAACCATCGGAGACATAAAGGGCCTATAGCCCACATTATCCCCGCAGCTGAAACCCGTGGGAATTATGATACCAACGTGACGCACAGTCACACAGCTCAGCGGGGAAGACATCGAGCCTCGACAGGACGGAGGGAGGAGGTCCAGCGCACCGATCACAGGAGGAGGAGGACGCCCTGTTCAGTTGTTGTTAGACACTACTCATACAACCAGACATCATCACCTGTTTAAAATAATAAAAAAAAACAATATTTTTAAAAACTGAATGCACTGGACACATCGGAGCAGCAGACAGGGAGGAGAGTACGGCGGGTGAGGGCGCAGAGAGATGCGGGAGACGCAGTGAGCGCGGAGGAGGAGGAAGAAGAGGAGGACTGACGGTAAGATGTGAATGTAGGCTGTAAGGACGCGCACCCCGCCCCTCTGTCTCTGTGTGTGTTCACATGCACAAGTGCACATACATGATCAATGCTGGAGCAGACAGGAGTGGTGCTCCGCTGCTGCTGCTGCCAGTGGCCATTTGATCAGCCACAAACAGGATGTGTTGCTTTTGCGAGGCTGCTGCAGCTAAACCCTGGTCAGTAGTAGAGGACAGCCAGGCGTGAGTGCTCTGGAATATTCATAGGCACGTGACTGTGCTGCACGGACATGAGTATCATTCATAATCCAGTTTAAACACCAGCTCGGGAATGCAGGGTGAGTTTTAAGCGTTCACCTGCTGATGCACCACCAGGATGGGGAGAAAAGAGGAGACAGAGAGCAGAGAGAGACCATTATCAATATTTCAGAGCAGGGAATGAGAAGACGGGGTCAGTGGAGGAGACCAGGAGAGAGAGAGAGAGAGAGAGAGAGAGAGAGAGAGAGAGAGAGAGAGAGAGAGAGGGTGAATGGAAGAGGAGATAGGATGGATTCATGTTCATGAGTCAGAATTTAGGAATTAATTATTTTCTTTAATTGACAGAAAGATTAAAGTGACTCATCCATAAGAGTGTATGTGTGGTGAGGTGGAAGATAAAGAGGTTAGTTGGGATCCTTTCCATCATTAGCATTAGCTTTAAACACTCACCTAGTCTCTCACACACAATTTAGAGGAATGTCATTTACACTTGTTAAAGAATTGGACAAAAGGCACCATTTTTATTCCTTACTGTGGTCCTTTCTGCACCTCAAACAGATCTCCACCAGGTCCTTTGAATCGGTCGGAGACAGTAAGTCAATCTCCATGTTTGCGCCGTGAGCTTTTGTGCAGGCTTGTGAATGGTGTGCAGAGCTGTGGGCGGACGAATCGCTGTAATATCAGTCCCCTGGTATGAGACTGGACATCAGCGGGGATTTCACTCACGATGCAGCCAAAGGGGGCGCAGCTGATGATTCTACATCAGTGCTAAATGTTGACTGGTTGATGCAAAAATGATTTATTTTATTCCTGGGAAGAAAAAATGTGGACAAAATAGCAAAGATCTGCAGCACCAGGGGCAAGAATATGTTATTAAACGAGCTAGAAGCAAAAGATGAGAGCAGATTAATTTTATATTGATCATTTATTAGCTTTTGGAATAAATGACAGCAATTCACATATATCACAGCACTGTAAAATATATAAACTAACTGAAGCCTTATTAAATGATGAATTAGTGCGATTAACATGTTATTTGGAAACCTGAGTTTGGTTCCACTGTAGCCACACCCAGGCTTGATTAGAGTCCTGCAGAATTAGGAAAGCATTTCAGTAGATCCTGTCATGAACATGAAGTAGGCTAAATGATCTCAAACAGCAGCATACCATGTCCTGTTCCAAAGAAATTTAACAGGAGAACCCAGGAAAACGTCCAAGGCTTTGCAGGCCCTATATGGTGAAAGTCAAGGTTAGAGGTCATGATCTGATGTTAAGAAGAAGACAGGACATTGAACAAACATTCATGAGCGGATTGTGCTGACCCAAAGAAGCCAAAGGCTCGTGGGTTAAATGACTTTGAGGAGAATTTTCTGTATAATGATGAGAAAAAGGTAGAGTTTTTTATAGAAGGTGTGTCTCCAGCTTCATCTGGTGTAATAATCTGGAGCAGTTTTGCTGAATTAAAATCATTTTGCAAAGAAGAGTGGGCCAAATTTGCCCTCGATGCAAGAGAGTTGCCCGTTATACAGACCTTTGATCACTGCTGTTAAGACAACCTGTAACAACTTGTTATTGGGTTTGGGGGTCCATCACGCTTTCAAATTGAGACAGGTTGGCTCGGACAGATTTTGTCCATTATGTCAACACAGAGCCGTTTACTGCTCTTCTGTCCTACTAGTTGAAAGTGGATCTACAACTGTTGTAAAAAAACAACCCTGCTACAGCCTGTAGCTAGCGCTAACAACAGGCTAACACTAACAAGAGCCAACTAATACATAACCACGAAGTAACAGATCCACACTGTTGGAAAAAATATTATTACTAACAAGTCCAGTAGCAACAAAGCCAGGTCACCATCAGTCCATGATGGTGAGCGTGGGCCATGTTCACTCTGGTTTTAGCTCTTTGCTTCACCTCCAAATACATGACTTTTATTTCCAGGCTCCGCCATGATGCCAACAAAGAAAAAAGCAAACTTATTTTTCTTCTTCTCGTTCTTTTTGTTGACAGTTGGCAAAGTGAAAATGCTAACTGCTAGCATTACAGCTAACAGCTGTAAATCAGGGATGAGCGCTCCCTAGAACACCTACCTGCTCCACAAACCTATAACGTGCACTTTTTGGTCAGCAGAGAGCTGCAGAGTGGTGTCAATAATGAAACAGGACAAGTTTCTAACCCAACAGTCACTTAGATCAATGTTGAAGCTCCAGCTTGAAGTTTAAAAAAACCTATATTGGCACTTTCATGAATTAAATAATCATTTGAAAACTACTTTTTGAATTTATTCTGGTTAAACCATACCAGACCAGTCCATACCATATCACATAACTTTACTCATAAAGCACTTTTTAAACACTCAAGTAGGGCTGGGCGATATGACGATTTTAGACCGTTTTACGATCAACACATCTGACGGTCTGTCATTTTTGAGAGACCTTTTTATCACGATTCACAGCTCTGCTGTTGAATTTCTGCCTCTGAATGAAAAGGGAACTTACCCCAGGCGAATGACACGCCTTTGTTTGATCCTTAACCAATCAGAGTGAGTCATAGTAATATATTAGTGCCCCGCTTGTTTTCACCTGTGTGTGAACAAACATGGCTTCGCCGCGGCTGAGAGCGACAACGAGTTTTTCGTTCCGAAGAGGAATGCAGGGTTTCCTTAGCGCGCGGCGCTAACAACTTAGCGACGTGACATGTCTTGGAGAAAGCGTAAAAACACGTTGGACGCTTCTTCTGAAGCAGGAAAATATCACCGCTTCTTAAAGAGCAAGTCACCCCAAAATCACATTTTTTTTGCTGATAAACTATATAAAGGAGTGTCTAATCATGCTACAGACACGTGTAGTCAATAATTTGGCAGTTCAGTGCATCTTGGTTAAAATTCAAATATTCTGCCTAAAACTGTCAGTGTTGCGCCGTCGTCAGGGAAAAATTCTGCACTGTATTTGAATTTAAATCTGCCACCGCTATTGGCTAAGAGGTATGCTATGATGTCATCTGGTATATTATGATGTCATAATGCCATTGTGAGCCTGTGTGTGTGTGTATTTGTTAGCAGCTCCGCCTTCTCGGTCTGCCAAGCAACAGCATTTGTTGCATTTTTCAAACATGAAGTGGGAGTGAAGTAAGTTTATTGTAGGGGGTAACTTGCTCTTTAAGCAGAGCACGACGTCGCCTCGGCTCGTTCACCCTCTGCCGAGCCGGTGTCGGTACCGAACTGAGCTCGGTCACTGGGTCGTTGGAGCTGCCCCGTGACTGCCTGATGGAAAACCAGCGGGTTTCATCAGACTCGTAGTTTCTTGTTTTTGCTGGGACCCCCTGTATTTTACCGCTCCCTCCTGCAGTCTTCCCCTATTAACATTTAAAATGATTCTGTAAATCCGTGTATCAATAGAAACAATCTCTGCCTCTGCCAGCTGCAGTAAATGTAGTTTCCAAATAATAAGAGGTGCATTCATCTGTGTATCTCCTTTGATCCACATTAGTGATATTCTCAGCACCAGAACAGGGAAGCAAAGAAAGATTCCTGAGTTTGTTAGTAATTTTATTAGGTGCATCTAACCTGTTCTGCACTGGAAAATTTTACTTTATTTAGAGACTTGTTGCAGAAAATATTCAGAATGTGCAGTTTTTTCTACCACAAGCGATCTCTGGTCCAGCCGCACATCAGAGCCGTATTTGAGCTTAACTATCCACTACATGAGCAACTGGGAGCTACATAGTATTTTGAACAAGTTAATGTTTGCACAATACGTTTGCAATTAACATGTTTGCACTTTAAATATGTTTACGATTTTAATTTATGTTAAGTTACTTGAAAAACGAGAAAAACTGATTTTTGTAATCGTTTCTCTCAGGGCTTTTATCATCTCTGGTGTGAGTTTAAAATATAAGTGTGTTAGCACTGTGCTGATGATCCCTAATATGAATAAAAGTTTATTTATTCAATGTTTCTCTTCTTTAATACGCAATTGAAGTTATGCTAGTCATGGATAAAAAAAATCGTGATAAAATCGAAATCGTGATAAAATATTGGAAAAATCGTGATATTCTATTTTTGCCATATCGCCCAGCCCTACACTCAAGTTGCAATGATCAAAACTCCAATGTAATTAAGTTGAATCTCTAAAAAATATTGCTTTAAATGTTTCAAGGCCAAAATCTGAACAAAGGCAGGCCCACTGTGGGATTATGATCTCAAATGTAATGCCAGCCTGAATTCTGTTCATTCAGCTCGTCTGTCCTTTTTTTTATAGCCCACGTTTTCTTTAAGTCTTTTGTCGCTTCTCAGATGGAAAACCTAGTTTTGTGGCCAGGAGTTTGTTCTGACATGTTTCAGCAGCTCACATTCAAAAGCAGGTTATGGTGACACTCACAAGAACCCAGCAGGTCTTAGAGAAACAAGCGCTAGACACACAAAATAAGAAATGTAAGGTTTGTTCCGCTAAATACAGAATTCTAATTTATTTGTGTCATTTGGGATAAATATCTACTTCTTCAACACGTTTTGGGTATTTGTATCTAACAAGTTGCGTTTAGGCAACCAGTAATCAAGGAAAAGCACACTATTATGCTGCCATAATGTAACAATGACACGTTATCTCTATGTTCTGATGCAGCAGCTGACAGATTATGGAACAATGTCTGGAGACACAAAATAGGTTTTCAGTAATAATTAGTGGTTTTATAGTTTTCTGTTAAACATGATCGAATAATTTTGTTTTGTTTTGAATTTGTATTCAAGCCGTTTGCTTTTTCATC